TGTATCGTTCTTATGAACAGATTCATGGATGTTGTTTCTCTTTTAGGCTGTGTCTGGAGCAGCTTTTCCTTCCAATTTTTGTGATTTTTTGACCATTACTTTTGCAGGCGGGTCCCACGCTACTCACAAGTGGTCAAAAATGACGGCCACTGTTGATTGAAAACAGGCAAAAAATCAATTTTTTTTCAGAAATAATTCGCACCAGACACTCCCTTACTAGTATACTGTTTTTGGTGTTCTTGAATTCATAATAGTGATTGATTGGATATTTAAGAAAATCTATGTGTTCTTTGTAGAATACGGTTAACGATTCTTAATTTTGAAAATATCCAAATATTACGTCTTTCCTTAAAATTTCTTGATTAGGATTGTTCTCTCTTCTTTCATCGGAGTATTCTATCGTTCTTCTTTATGGTTTCTATTATAATATTTTTTTTGGTGGAACATGCAAATTAGTTAATACATCCATGCTCTTGGCTTTATTTCTGTTAACAGCTTGTCTTTTTAACTTGGTTATCTTTGATTATTTCCCTTTTTGAATTGACATCACTCGATGAACAAGTTATACGTGACTAACTCTATTCGTTAATAGGCTCAACATTTTACACAAAGGCTGCTGGATTTAGTACATATGCAGTCACACGGTCGGTGAAGGGGATGCATTACACTTATTTTGGAACGAACCTGCACGTATTTGCTCCAAAAATTGTAATCAACATTTAATTCACTATCGTACAATCAGCAAAATTTAGAAGACTCTATGTACTTTTACATTTAACGTCACACAAATGCAAATACGTTTCTCAACCAATCTATCTAAAACACTTAGGGCATGTTTGATAGGCCCTTTTCTCCATGGAAAATGGAATTGAAATTCAATTTCCCACTTTTGTCATGTTTGATAGCCAAAATTTTCCATGGAAAATATTTTCACGTGACCAATTTTTCCATGTTTTCGTTGAATTGGTTTTCCCACCATTTTGGTGGGAAAGTGGTTTCCAATTTTATTTTATTTTATTTTTTTGTAATGAAAACAAATTTTATGGACAATTATAAAAAAAATTCCCTTTAATGGATAATTTTCGTGATAAACAAAGTCAAACAAATACCAAAAGATTCAAAATTTCAACATTTTTCATGTGAAAAATTATATCAATCAAACACAATTAATTGACAATTTTCAGGAAAGCAATTCTAGACAATTCAATTTTCTATAATTCATTTTCTTTTCACCCAAATTCCACTCTTGCAATCAAACGAACCCTTAGAGATGATACTGCATTTGTATGACACATCTCTAAGGATGTGTTTGATATGGTTGATTTTCCATGTTTTTTTGTGTTTGATAGCATGTTTTTTCTTGACAATTAGAACTGTCACTTTCTCTCACACGGTGACACTTTCTAGCTTTTTCTTGAATTCTTT